GAGAGCCAGACAATGTATACGCGCCGTTTGATTTATCTTTGAGTCTTCATGAATGCGCTTTATGAATGCGCCTTCGCCGTGCCGCCGCTCTCCCGTCGCAATCGTCTCGAATAATGTATCCCGGCTCCCAGCGGCTTTTAGCGTTGACTGCCGCGCGAATTAATTTCGCAGGAGACCCGTTAAGGATCGCGCAAATAAACGGCGACGCTCGTTTTTCCGCGAGGGACGAAGTGGAGATAACACGGAGGTAACACGGAGGGAAAATTCGACTTTATTGTCTCCGGTTCGCGTTCATTCGCAGCTGAATCTTAGCTCCCCTGTTCGCTCGACGGAAGACGGCGCGTCGTGTATCTTCCGCCGCGCCGCGTGGCTTTATTCACGTTTAGCAGATGACAGCGGAATTTAATGCCGCTGTTTGTTCCACGCGCGGCGGAGGATGTAGCGTTTTCGAAATATGTGACGTCGTTCTTGTTGTCACCGGGCGAAGAAAGAGCGCCGCTTCGGCCCGAAATCGTTCGCGGACGCCGCCGCCGCTGTCGCGAAAAACACGCGATACGTATTTTCGCGGCGAAAATAAATTCACCGGCGAGATTTGCACCGTCCCGCTTTTCTGGATCTCCCAACGGGAGATTTCTGGAGACGTTCCAAAAACTTTAAAAACGACGACCCTGAGAGGTACGAGCCGTGACTCACACGGGTTCGTTGATGATCGGCGAGCTTCTCCGGCGGCGACAACAACCGCGGCTGAGTGACGCGATGATCGAAATGTCGATTCGCGATTTCCGACGGAAGAAAAATGTCTGCTCTTTAGCTGCTAAAAGAATTGTCCTGTTGAAAAATAATTCACAGTTCCGATGCACGTACCGCATCGCTGCTGTTTAGGTCAGTAATTTAATTCTAGCTAGCCTTATTTTCGAGTCCTTAAATCGCCACACTCCGATCTACTCGACTTTGTCATTTTCATTCTAATTAATATTTGTAAGCTTGTAATGTATAGAAATTAGAAATACAGAGTCTAAATAAGATATTTATGAAAATATCAGATCAAGAAAATTATTTGAGTTTAAATCGTACTTATTGTAAGAAAAAGCGGCTTACTGGACCGCAATGTGGCGAGCTAGGGTTAATCATCGAGCGCCGATAAACGTTTCTGAGGTGCTTTTCATAAAATCAAAATTAGCGGCCGTTAGTCTCCGACAATGAACTGAGGCCGATCTTTTATTTTTGCTCGTGGTATTGTTCCCGACAGCTGCTCGTAAAGAATTGCACCCGAGAAGTCGTAAACCCGCGGCACCTCATCTCGATGCGTCTCCAGGTCGGAGAAGAAACTGATGTGAGAACGTTGACGGGGAAGAGTGCCAACAAGTCGTTCGACGGACTTAAGTCGTCGCGCTATCGCGAAATACGAGACACAGACCGCCGTGATTCACCTTTATCGAGCGAGCAACGCAATAATTATCCCGTGATAATTAATTTCCTTCAATTCCCCTTACTTTAAAACTCCTTTGCGCTTCCTCGAACCAGATTCCGAGGCAAAAAATGTAATTGCGTTCGTGCGGTTCTGATGTTCATTGCGTGAAATCGAAATGAGCGCGGGATATAATTCGCTCTTTTCAAATTTCATCGCTTTAAAATGTTTAACTGCGTAAAGCATCGCGATGATAAAGCACAATGAATTCCGGAATCCACTTTGAGAGAAATGAGCATGGAGTGTAATTGTCTCATGATAAACGCATCTCCATTTGTACAATGGAATAATTGCAATTAACTGCGATATAATAGAATGTAATGACGTTGTAAATACCTTCCAACTCGATCGTGGATTTATTTCTTTCGAGTGTCGTGGATAGCGCAATGATTTTCTTCAACCTGACCGATACTTCACCTTTACTCGAGCCTTTACTTGAAAATTTTTTTTTATTAAATTTCAAGGCAAAGAACATTCAGCTACGTTCAATCGAAGAGTGCCCTTCAGAGATCGGATTCCATTTTTTTTTTTAATTTTTAATAATAGAAACGATCGCGTAAAGTTGCAACATAACGGCGTGTAATGCCGCGTTACATTGTCATTATCTGAAGCGAGCTCGTCTTTCAGCTGCGAGGGATGCAAGGGATTCTTCAAGAGGACCGTGCGTAAGGATCTGTCGTACGCCTGTCGCGAGGAGAAGACCTGCATCATCGACAAGCGACAGAGGAACCGCTGTCAGTACTGCCGGTACCAGAAGTGCCTGACGATGGGGATGAAGAGGGAGGCGGTGCAGGAGGAACGTCAGCGCACTAAGGAGCGGGATCAGAGCGAGGTGGAGAGCACGAGCAGTTTGCACGCGGACATGCCGATCGAGCGTATCCTCGAGGCGGAGAAACGTGTCGAGTGTAAGATAGAGCAGGGAAATTACGAGGTAAATATATTCGCGCCCGTGATGAAGATATCGCGTGTCCGATGCGTGTCGCGTGTAGGCGTATCTTCCTCCTGACGGGAGGGAAAAGCGGAAGTTTAGATATGTATAATAGTAATGACGAAATGGCTGTTTAAGGATATGTATGTAGGTCGCTATTAGATACGTCTTAGGATATACTATTTCTAATTGTGAGAATAATCTCGCGGTATAAAATAAGAATTTATTATGTATGTTTATCACACAATTTATTATTCCTCAAATGAATTACAATTCTTCGCTCACAGCTATAATCTCTTGTAAAGTCAAGGCATACACGGGATGAAAAATCGAGGATCGAACTCGGAATTCGATTCTCTTATACGGATCTATGCGTCACCTAAATTAAGAATTTATAATTTAGATTTTAATATACATTGCAAGATAGCGCGAATTTATGTACGTGAGATCTTTATAAAGATATTGCTTGAACGTAATTTTATCGTAGTTTTTATAGAGACATATCTGACTCATTAGTGGTTGTTCGCAGAACGGCGCCCTGCTATCCCATCGAAGCGCACTCTCCACTAATTCGCTACCTTTCTGTAATGCGCAGAACGCAGTGTCGCACATTTCCAACTGCACAACGAATCAACAAATCTTCCAGCTGGTGGCATGGGCAAAGCATATCCCGCACTTTACGTCGTTGCCGGTGGAGGATCAGGCGATTCTGCTCAAGGCTGGCTGGAGCGAGCTGCAAATAGCTGCCTTCTCCTACCGTTCCATCGACTCGAAGGACAATATCATTCTGACAACGGACGGCTCGTTGCATCGAAATGCGACGGGAAATGCGCTCGGGTCCACGATATTCGATCGCGTGCTCTCGGAGCTGGTGTCGAAGATGCGCGAGATGAAAATGGACAGGACCGAACTCGGATGTCTTAGGTGACTGGCAAGAATAATCTTTAATATGAATCTTTAATAGAACTCCGACGATTGAATTGCCGTGAAACGAAACTGACTGTTTGTCAATGTCTTTGCCATTCATTCTTTTCTTCTTAATTCTAAGATCGTATTTTTATTTTTTTTTCTTTTCTTTTTCTTTTCTTTTTTGACATAAGCAAGCTAAATGAAACAAATCCAATTAACAAATGGCTTTCGATCTAATATCAATATTATTTTTTAATGTGCAGATCCATTATTCTTTTTAATCCCGACGTGAAAGGCCTCAAGTCCGTAAATGAGGTCAGCCTGCTGCGCGAGAAGATCTACGCCGCTCTAGAAGAGTACACCCGCGTGAACTGTCCGGAGGACACCAGCAGATTCGCCAAGCTGCTGCTTCGCCTGCCATCAATCCGTTCGATCGGTCTCAAGTGTCTGGAGCACATGTTCTTCTCTAAGTTAATCGGCCAGGCGCCGCTCGAAAGCTTCCTCACGGAAATGTTGGAGTTACCGTCGGATCCTTAGGAGCAGAAGGTGTGCCGCGTTGTGGGGCACACCGATATGTAAAAAAAAAAGTAAAAGAATCGAACACAAGAGGAAGAAGTAAAAGAAGAAGACGACGACGATGACGATAATGACGACGACTACGACGAAAGAGGATAGGACCCGCATTCGAGTCGAGTTTCGCATTCGAGATGCAACGATTTCTGTACTACGTCGCCTTTCCCCCGAGTCGCAGTATAGACTATCCGTGTGTCGAGCGAGGTGGAATTTACTTACTTCTCTTCATCGCCACCCCCCCCGTCTCCTCCCTCCCTCTCCCATTCCTCTCCTCGCCCTGTTATTTATGTTTTTGTTAGAGCTTAGCGACTCTTATGTCCAGCGTAAGGAGGCGGTCTTACTGGTCGACGACGCCACGCACATACGGGAAAATAGTGACATAAGTGCGTGCGTACGCGTCTGCGTCTTTGTACAGCTTGTATACGCCTGTATACATCTGAGCGCTGTCTGACAGCTGCGGTCTGCAATTCAGGTTTCGATGTTGTCGGTCGATAATTAGTTAGTTAATTAGTTAATTTCTTGAATCGGTTAAATTTGTTACGACGGTTAGCGATACTTTACAAGACGCAAATGCAATTCGTAGAAATTTACTTCGACTTATCCGGTGGATGAATAAAGTTTGACGGCGTTAATTTATGGAAAGCTACATAGACAGAGAATTATCTGTACAAAATATTGTTAATCACAATCGCTGCCTCTTTAGCCTGCGACATGTGTCGTGCCATCATCCGAGCGAAGATCGTGTCCCACACGATATTTCGTGCCGATCGATCCTTGGTTCGGACAGAATATCGCGTCTTCGTCGGACCGCACCTTTCACAGTCACAGAAGTTCCTAGAATTATTAAGTTTCTTTTTTTATTTTTGCACTTTGTTACTTTTCGGTCTCTCTCTCTCTCTTTTTTTTTTTATCTTTCTCGTCTCTCTTTCTCAACGTCGCGGGTTGCTTCGACAATGCCGTTTTCAACGGCGGACGCTCGACGAAGACGCGACTCTGTGCTCGCGAGTTCTCGGACACCTTTACATTCCAACTCTGCCTCGATTCGGATCGTTACTTTAAAGAGCCACTATTTGCATATAGATATGTATACATACATACTTGCATCAAATGCGTATCCCCTTACGCTCAGTGCGCAAGTTTAACGATAATTTATTGTTTTGTATTTTAGAGTATAGGAGAGAAAACGAACTTACTAATTCATTATTAATTAAATTAAATATACACATGGTAGTCCCCTTTTTTTATGCAGCATGTGTCCGTGATGGAATATCAGAAGTGCAACAATCGGACGTCAGAGCGTGCGAACGAAGTATTTACTTTCAAGGTGTTAGGGTTTCCGTTTATCTCTTTGTTTCCTTTTGGTAAAATGCACGCTCGGATATATACTCGGATCTTCTTCGTTAATCTTTTAATATTTAGATTTAACGATATGACAAACTCTTACTACGCGTATACACATTTGCAGTACTGGATTGCTGTCTTCTGTGTCCGGTACAAATTCGACATGGCAGCAAAATAGAGTAGAGAGAATATAGACATTTAACTTTTTCTCATAGTATACTGGCAGTGAGATTTATTTTCCCCCGGAGAATGTTCAATGCACGAAAGCAAATTAAAAACAAAGATGCAAGAGCTCTCGAATCTTCGAAAGAAAAAAAAAGAGCTGTTTCAGATGTATAATTAAAACTATAAAAATCTTAGCATACGATAAGAATTAACTACTGATCGTGGACACAGGATTAAGATAGAAACCCTCTCGTTGTTAGTAATTTACAGAATTGCGTATCACATGACGTGAGCTGATGGATCCGATAGACTTGTAAATTACATAAAGCAGAGCATCTGCAAATGTTTGCTCAGCGACTTATTTTCTAAATTTAAATGTTATTAGATATATAAAAATATATATGTACAAAACGTATATATACATATATATATTTTTCTCGAGACTGTTAATTACTATTTTATCTGTTAACTATTTCTACTTGTGAAGAAATTGGATTAACGACATAATTTATGTGATAGTCAAATTTTAATAGTTTTATGTCAACATCGCGTTGACTTGGTTCTTCGTTTGGAAAAATTTTTAGATGTGTAATATTGTACAATAATTTGTTCATTTAATAGAGATACGTAAACGTTTATAATATTAGATTTATACGTATCGTTTTTTTTTTGTAACGAATTTATGAAGTGTTTGATGATTATAATTAATGACTCGATGCAATTATGTTGTAAAATGTGAGCGTTCAGATGTAAAATTATTTTTTTATTTTAAATAAAATCAATTGTGGAATAATATTTCGTCATTTTTGCGAATGTTGTACAAAATATTTGATGCTTTCTCGGACTCTTTCAGCTCTAATCATTGATACGATTTACTCTACTACTCTAGAAATAGTAAGGGAATGATCATACTTACTTCAATAATATAAATTATGATAATATTATTGTATATTATTAAACATATTTCTATTTTTGCGTGAATGCCTACGATTGTTAGTTGTTGGTTATTGTTATCTACTTGATGAGAGTTTTTAATGTTATGCGTACCGTGGGAAACAAAACACAATATTAAATTCATAATTTTTTTTATAACATGCTGGAGTTACTATTCATTTCAGATGCCTATTTTAGCGGTTTTTTTTTTCTTTATCATTTAGGGAAGACGAGTTATATTTAATGGCATATTAATGCGGATGCAGGAGCAATATCGTGTATGTAAATCGAATTAATTTCCCATATATATACATATATATATATAGACGTGATTCAAGTCACTTTTGATTTATTAAGTAGGAGCGCAGATAAAAAAGGAGCGAGATTCTATTAACCAAACTTATCGTTTGATTGTACAATTGTTACTTGAATACTTTTATTGACGAAGCACCTGACCAAAATTACCTCTGAACAATCGCGCGACTAGCGATCACCTCTTCAAATTCCTCACAAAATATAAAAACGATGCTGTAAGTGACCATTAGGATTGGAGGGCGCGAATGAAGCTACCTGTGAATGAAGTTTCATATAAATATATAAATGTTAAAAACGGAAATATATCTATACATATATATATAAATAATATATGAATATATATAAACCGAATTCTTTCACAAATACAAATGCAACAACCTCAGTAGTGATCAGGAAAAAGAGAAAAAGAAAAGAATTAACAAAGATAAACAGATTAATGAGCTCTATGTCCTGCGATCAGATACATTATATAAGGTAAGAGGATTTTACAAGAGTGGTCTTTGGAATTCCGTGATGTTTTACTAAAGCATAAATAACACACTGAGCTTCTTTCGCGAAGCACCGTTCGGGAAGAAAATGCTGGTTCGCGTGCGTGTGCGTGTGTGTGTGTGTGTACGTGTGTGTACCGAGTATACTTTAATATAAACTTAAATGCTTTTGCCATACTTCTTTGAAGTATCATTGAAATGGTACGATGCTCAAGTCGTGTGTAGTAACAATCTTATCTAGTAACACTGTCCTGGAAGAATCGGGTGCGCTGTGTAATATCTTTCTGTACAGTAAAAGTAGCAACGGATACTATATTTTAATTTTGTATCTATCGTATATCTTCTTCGCTTTTGTGTCTTGTACTTATGCAAACCCTGGACATACATTTTTTTCCGTTGCATGTCGTTCTTTTTCTCTCTCTCTCTCTCTCTCTCTTTCTTTCTTTCTTTCTTTTCGATAATTTGAACGTTTGATTGACACATTTTTAATTTGTGAAATCCCCGTAGCTTTTTCTGTCACTTCAGTATTTAAAAGGCAAACGACAGGGCATCTTTTCATAGCATATTGAAACCCTTTCTACGCACCCATTCTACATAGATCAGTACAAATAAGTTTAATAATAATAATAAATAGTAATAAATAACAATAATAATGATAATATTAATAATGGTACCGATAATGTTAATAATATACCGTTTACTCTTATCAAGCGCGTAAGTTATACCCAACTTAACAACAACAAAAAATAGTAGCAGGTGTCCTACTAAAAGTACCGTACCTTTAACGAGCTAAACTGTAAGCCAGTATGTTACATCTATGTATAAACGTCGTAAAATTTACGTATGGGCAATCTCTAATTAAGGAAAGTTAATAAGTTCAACTCTTGTATGACTGCCATTATCAAATATTATTTCGAATAATTATCGTAAATGCGATACTCTCCGCGTAGTCGGCCGTTTTTTCATTATCTTTTCTGGCCCGCGCGGAGGAGAGCCACGTGAACGCGCACGTTTATACACACGCGAAAAACACACGCAAAAAACGTTCGTTGATAATTTCGATTTAGACCTTTCTCTCGCGCACGAGGACGACGAGGCGTGTTTAAAATATATTCTTAGACGACATTGGAAGAGAAAAAAGAAAAGCACTCCGATTGCAAAGCCGATTGCAAAGGGATATACTTCGATCGTGAACTGTAATTGTATATTGTCGATAAATGTTGAATATGTAACATTCCACTTTACGGATTAATCATTAATCGGCGAATGCATACGAATGCCTATCGAACATCGCTTCTTCTTTGTTTTTCATGCGATACAAGTCACCGATGTATAATTCGCTCCGTTTCGTATAGAATCGTCGAAGCACCGCGACTTTCGATGTCTCCCCGCTTTGCGTTACGGTGGGACGTTGGCGTGTTGTACGATAACTCCGTCGCAAATGTTAATTTATTTCACTGGCTTTAATAACCAACGACACTATTATATGGTTGTGCTCCGTTAGATAGCAAAGCAATATAGTTAATTGTACATGTGTGCACATGAGCATATATATATTTATATAATATATATTTTATATACCAATATATATTATATATATTTATTTTACGTATATATATATGTATTTTTTATGTGCATATATGTATGTGTGTATGTACATCCCTCAAGAGTCCATCTCGTATCTTTTTAAGCTGTATAAGTTATATGTATTTCATTTTAATAGTTAACGGAACGAATTCTTCATTTGCGCATCCATTTGTAGATTACGAAAAAAGATCTGTCTCTACATACTTATACTATATTTACTACTAAACTATTAAGAAATACGCTTTTGTAAATGTACACCTTTTTTCAAATATATAACGGTACGGAACATGTGCAAAGTATCACGTACGGCGGGCGTCGAGTTCTCAGGTGAGGAGAGAGCGAATGTTTTAGGAAGAATAAGAGTAATATATTCACACACAGAAAGCGAGATGAGGGTATATAAAATAATATGTAGAAACGTAAGAGAGAGAGAGAAAGAGAGATAAATAGAGATCCCGATGTAGAAGAGGAAAGCGAGAGAGAGGGAGAGAAAGAGAGTGAGACTGAGAGTAAGAGAGAGAGAGAGGGTGAGAGAAAAATTGTTGAACGGCAAGAATGTGCAAAACAAGGGGAGTGATGCTGATGAGTGTACTTGTACAACAGTATGGCTAGTAACAATCCCTGAGTAAAGAAATATAATGTACGGTTTCGCGCCAAGAGATAGATCGTCTATTCTGACTTATCTAAATATAATATTTTTATGAACTGAAAAAGACTGTCATATTTTTGTACCATTTACAGACCCGCCCCTTGTACATCTTTACTCACATTGTACGCTTACAAACGTGGATAAATAAGTCGATTGATTTTCCTTTTTGCAGTATAATTTATTAACTGTATTTATTAGAGGCAGACAGGTTTTGTGCATCATACTTCCGCATACGAAAGCAGTAAAAGTTCATATCTTTCACATAGTCGTTCGATTTATAATGGACAAATGTACAATTATGATTGCTTACACATGTTACGTGTGTATGTAAAGTGCAATATGTGACAAATATATATATATATATATACACACACATGGCACTTCTACTATTTTAAGGAAAAAAGAAGCTGAATGTAATAATTTAAAATAACAATATATTTCCGAAGCATCCGTATCTCGTAAAAAATGTATGTATATATATAAAAATGCTTGGACGCATTTTAAATTATAAAACTTTCACAAATACGTATGTTACATTCATTAAACTACAGGGAGCAATCAAGGAACGAAGGAAGATATAAATAAAATGTGGAAAGTATAAATAAAATAAAAATTATCGAAAAAAATTTTTTTTTTATTTACGATGGACATATTAAAGTCGAATATGGTTCAGAAATTGCCACTTAATATGGATATTAACATAATCGTTACATCATCGATGTAAGTCCATCACTGCAAGTTCTTTCCCCATCTTCCATTTTTCAATATATATAAATAAAATTACCTAATACGAAATTGGACACGAAAACATTATTACATATATCTTTCACAACTAATTGCTTGCACATTGTTATGAAGAATCCTGTTGCCACTTTCCCTCATGTTACAGAATATGTACAATTAGTTATCAAGAAATAGTCACTAACGGAGATTTTATTGAATGTATTGTAAGTTAGTTGCATTGCAAATTAAGATTGGAAGTCGAACTGTTGGTTTCACATTTTTTAAACTAAATTTCACAGCTTTCCAGCATGTGTGCAGTCTTGATTTTCGGTTTATCTGAAAAAAACATATACCAAAATAAAGATTAGTTTCTATCGCCGCACATCAGTTATATATTAATTTTAGTCAAAGTAAAATATTGCATTATAATTGAAGATGTCTGGTTAACATTAGTCGCTGCGCCTAGAAAGACGTCGCAGCGAGAATCTGATTGCCAATTTAATCTAACATGTTTGTGCAATAACGAACACAAATAAAACGTGTTGGTCATGAATTTTTACATGTATATATATACACATATTCTATTTAATCTCTTTTTTCCTCTTTTTCACCTCAATTTTACATTAAAAAGGATTTAACATAATGCAGCATAATAAATAAATAAAAATAAGATAAGAATAAGACTCTTAATTATATTAATAATATTAAGAATATGACTCACAAAATTTGTCCAATTTATTGAGTATCTAAGGGTTACTTAGAACTTTTCTTCTTCAAGACCGTGCTTGAAAAACATGAGTACAGGCACAGAATCGCCATCGATCTCACGGTACTCCATGAGGCCCACAATTCCATCGATGTCCATTGAAGTACCGGTGAAAAATTGCAATTCCTTAAAGCGGCTTAGGATATCCTTCATAACTTTATTCATATTTGTTTTAAAAACCTCTACTTGATCAGGTGACTTTTCCTCTAGCTTCGCCACTAATCTGCAAACAGAATTTAGCAAATATTTTTAGAATAACATGCATAGAACACACTTACTTACAAATATATGTTTTTATTTATATAAACGAATAGAGACAACTTATAAATAAATAGAAAAAAATTCTTTCATTTTATTACTCTTCTAGGAAAAACTATATGATTCGCTGGAAAATTGTTACAAAAGTAATTTTATCAATGAGTCACATTAACGTGATTCATCTTAATTCATTAACCTTAAAAGCTTGTTAGTAATTTCTTAATCTTTACAATATTTAAAAAAATGTTGACGTGATGCAAGATAGATATTATTCAACTATATAAAATATAGTAGTAGCACAGGTTATTTAGTTTTGCCATTACTGCAATGTGGTGGCCGCGCAGATAACAACACATTAATTAGCCGCGTTTTCTCGCGAGCGCTCGATCGCGCCGACTAAATACATAAACGAATTCGACAACAATAATCGCCCTGATCGACACTCTCACCGACGATCTCATCGGACAAGAGTTAGGCGGGCATATAGTGGAGTGGCACCATCGCGCGACTCGCAGAGAGTCGCATGGTATTTTTGGGGACGCATCCTCCACATACCATTGTTACATCCAACGATACACTCCTCTCCATCACTATCATCCATGATCGACATCAACATGCGTATCCCCAAAGCAAAATAAATCAAAACCAATAAATCTATATAGAAGATACTTACTTCTTCATGTAGTCTTTGAGGTATAACGTGTAAGACTTTTTATCTCCAAAGGCAAATGTTTCCTGAAGGCGATGGTTCAACACAACGTCCACGCCAGACTCCACCGCTACGTCGGTACCTTCGTCAGCCTCCTCGGCAGACGGATTAAAACCAGCGATTTCAACGTCACCCGACCTACGGGTAATTAACTAAAAAATTAAATGTAAAAATGTTACGCCATTTTTCTTTGCGTAAGGTACTTCGTAAGTAACATATATATGTACCTTGCCATATACTTCATACAGCACGTCGTCTATCAGCTTGATTTTGTAGGTATCGGAGAACATCTCATCTCCTATAAAATATATACAGAAAATTATAATCCTAGAGACCCAACCCATGCCTGATTTTTTTTTCTTTTTTTTTTCATAAATGATCACCTCAGGCGATTTTTACATCTCAATTAAAAGTCACTGTTATTAATTACATATTGCATATTTTTTATCGCTCTATAATTTATTGGTATTTGAGGACAATATGTACGTATATATAGATTTATTCAACAGTTATTGGAAAACCAAAAAATATTTAAAAAATAAAAAATGATTTGAAATTACTGTAATGTTTTTTTTTTCGATATTAGGGTGTAAAAATCAACTCAGGCGCCTGTTCTCGGATTAAATATCTTATTTCGTGCAGACTCTACATTACACAATCTTATCGTAACTACACGTTGCTCCAGCAATCTCACGAATCTTCGAGAACATATGGGGAGGTTAGGTATATGATAGAAAATTTACCAAAAAGCTAAACTACAATAATCGCGATAATTCGTGAAAATCGTGCAAAATCGAGGAATTTGCGTTGTAATTCCATGCGGAGAAATGATAGGAAGAATAATTTCTCCATGTGTTCGAATATCGCCGAATTCCGCGATGCCATCATTTAGGCATTTCGCTCCCATTATTGTGTCTCGGCGACGAAAGATGAAAAATATTTGGCTCGCGCGATCGCGCGAGTCGTTCTTCATTTACTCACCGGTGAAAATATCCTTATAAATCTTCATTGTGGAAGATGGAGAAAGATTCAACAGCAGCTAAAACTAAACAAGACACGGTCACCCAAAAGAGCGCACCGGAAAAGAAGGAGACTCGGCGAAGATCTGGCGAGCGTCTCTCAAATTTTCGGCTCCGACCAAGACTGTCAAACTAAACTGCCAAATGCGCCGACTCTTGCCGTCCTGACATCTAGTGGGAATACAGGCTTCCGCGCCGCGCGCCGCGAAATTCGAAAGCCTTGAAAATTCAAGCATCGGGAAAATCTAATAAAAAAGATATATGGCGTTTTTTTTTATTCAGATAAAAAAGGACCATAGGGAGAGCCCATATGGTCATACATATACAAGCTCCGAAATATGACAAACGACACTATAGACAAATTTCAAAAAATATGTTTATTTTTAATATTGCTATGGATCCTTTAATGCGAGGCATACTCTCTCTCTCTCTCTCTCTCTCTCTCTCTCTCTCTCTCTCTCTTTCTTTCTCTTTCTCTCTTTCTCTCGAACAAAATTAGATGATAAAGAATTGTATAATGCTGTTGAATAATATGCTATAGCCAACGAGAAAGAGCGGCGAATGCCGTCGCTCGACGCTCGGTGAGAAAATCGAAGCTCCGAAATACACATGGTGTATTGATTGGTTCATACACATGTGCATAAGGAAATAGACCAATCAGTTTTCTTATGCTAATGCTAAGACTCCATAGACGCGGAAACGCCATGCAGCAGAGTGCGTTGACCAATCACAAATTTTGATTTTGCCGCAGGTGACTTGCGGCAGCCTTCTGATTGGTCAACGCACTCTACCGCACGGCGTTTCCGCGTCTATGGCTGGTATTCATAGTCTTCAAGATCGTCTTAAGTAATGTCTTAAGACGCTAATACGGCTCTGTGATTGGTTTATGACATCTTAAGATTGAACTTAAGACGGTCTTAAATAACTATGAATACCGGCTTATGGAGTCTTAGCATAAGATTATTCTCCTCAAATTCGACTGTGATTGGTCAATTCTTGCGACTCACGACTTTGCGACTCGCATTGTAGACCCAGCATAAGAGAACTGATTGGTCCATATGCATGTGCATAAGGAAATAGACCAATCCGTTTTTTCTGGATAGACCTTAAGGATCGACAGGATCACAATCGACCCCCTGGGTCATGTTCCAAAACTCACTCTGGTTGCGTTCCAAAATTCACTCTGGGTAACTAAAATCTATAGTTTACGTCACATACACTATAGCATTTTAGTTAACTAGAGTGAATTTTGGAACGCAACCCTGGGTAACTAAAGTGCTATAGTGTACGTGACGTGAACTATAGATTTTACTCTCTTTCTCTCCCCCCCACTCTTTCGTCCTATCGGTCAATGACACGTTGACGCACGCGCGGAAAGCCTCACCAGATATTCTTTTCTTTGCCCTCCGCATCTCAGCAACAGTAAAGCAACGCGTCTACTTCTTCCTTCTTCGTGAAAGTTGGTCCGTGAACGATTGTCCGTGCGCATATTTTATCGAAGAGTTTCGATTGCAACACGAGTTGTTAACTGCGGATTGTTTCGACTTCAGGTAAGCGATCGGTAATTATCCGTTTCGCCGTTGTGCGCGAAAATTCATCGCTGTTGCGCCGTTGGAAATTTCTGATTCTTGTCGACGCCAAGTCCCATCCATTTTGTGCAGTTCCTCTCCTATACCGCACGATCGATTTACGTTGCGCATTAGGCTTTTGTAGCAAGCTTTCAGCTGTTCGTTCACGCAAAAAGTAACGCTATTTTAAGCTTTATTTTGTATTACATCTAACAGGGTTATAAATAGAGCGCCAGAAGGAAATGGATCATTTTGTCCTTTTCGACAGACGCCATGATACGGGTAGATACGCGTCATATGTATATTTACGAAGCCTACGAAGGCTGCGATTCGCTTGCTGTTGCAATGCTACGCAGTATGGATTTCTTTGTCCTGATTTCTTCGTGAATCATATTTAAGTAGCGATAAGCGAACCGCAGCCAGAGCCTCGTGACTGCGACGCATTTTGTATAAAGACTGTTATATTTAATAAGATACATTACATTATGTAAAAAAGGGAAAAAGTATACTCCGTTGGGATCAAATGTGCTATAAAATTATTATTTTTGTTTTTATTAAAGTGAATCTTTAGTGCAGCTAAAGTACCTAATTTTTTTCCTTTTCTGTCAATTTTGATTCTGTGTGACAATGTGTGAAAATTAATAGTAATTGCAAAATACAGAAACTTGAAATAAAGTATATATTCCTCTGTAGTATACTTTATTTTTCCTGAATTGTGCGTTCTCTCTTGGAAAGCACAAGATTTTTATTGAAATGTTGAATACTCGGTATTTCTTTTCCAAATGTATTTTTCTTGATTCTTTGATAGTCAATTTTTTAAACTGAACTTAATGTAAAGTAAACTTTAAATTAAATCTCTCCATTCTCAGATATCTTGTATTTTTACAGTTAAAACTTGTAATAATTTTAATTATTGTATTGTAACAGATTTGTACTAATAGTCATATGAAATATATAACATTTTTTCTCTTATTATTTACAGATTCACCATGCAGATCTTTGTGAAAACTCTCACTGGGAAAACCATCACCCTCGAGGTGGAAGCATCTGACACCATAGAGAATGTCAAAGCTAAGATCCAAGACAAAGAAGGTATTCCTCCAGATCAGCAACGTCTGATCTTCGCTGGTAAACAACTGGAAGACGGCAG